GGAGCAGTATTATTTTGGCCCAATATAAGAACTGCTCCCAGCCATTCTATTTTATGCCCACTATTCAAATGAGTAATGCAGGAGGACCAGTAATGAGTTCCATAGAACTTAGGACATTTGATGTGATTGCAGCATTTGATAGGAAAGTGAGCCGTAGATTACTTCATGCATTATTATCTGAAACATCTAATCAGTTTCTTAACTCCAGAGTATCTCCCTCTGCTCTTCCCTCATAAATCAAAATATTTTGAATTCATGAGAAGAATTCAAGAAAAAGAAAAATAATTTCAGAGTGTTAATTTGAATGTGGAGGGAGAATAGCTTGTTCAGATAAGGTTTTCTCCTCCCCCCCCCCCAAATAAATACATAAATCCATTCCCTTTGTTGCTGTAATTTTTCAGGTCACTTATTATTTGGGTGAATCGAAGCTTACCTTTGTGGGGATTACAGGTAATGTATACTTTCATTTTTGTAGATTTTACATGCGTTTAATAACATTTTAGAGTAAAAGAGGAGTATTTATTAACAGAATGGCAAATTAGTGAGTGCAAAGGTCATTCTACAAATATATATTGTATATTTTATAATATTTTTCTCTGAAGACATTTAGGATGGTTATTATGATTATCAGTCAAGAAGTTACAACCAGTCCTTGCTTAATGTCTACCTGGTTTAAAGACTATTTGCAAATGTAATACTAGGTGTTTTTTTTTTAAACCCCAACCAATGTGTGTGCTTTATAATCAGATTTTGTGCCTAACAACAGTGCATGTGGCAGTGAGAGTAATGCTGGCATGGCTGGATGAGAGTTTTATCTAAATGAGCCTGCAGCAGTCAATGATCTTTGCAGCTTCTGTCTTTCTGTCTCAGCCACGTCTTCACACCTAGCAAACATTCGACCTCTGGTTTAAGGAAGGGATTGCAATTGCTAAACAAGGAAAGGATATACTCAACCTACGACCATTCATTCACTAATTATTTGAAGTATGACAGAATCAAACAGATGGTGGTTACAACTGATCCTCCCAAGTTCTGTATGCTGCCATAGCACTCCTACAGTCACATGACCGAGACCTGGTTGCTTGGCTACCTGTTCACACTTACAACCGGTTGCCAAATACTTGCAATCATGTGGTGCTGTTTGACACCTTCCCTACTCTTTCACCCAGAACGTCAATTTCCTGCCTTGTGCTGTACTGTATTTTGCACATCCTCCTTGACCCGTGGGTTGTGGGTTGTGGAGAGTGCCTCTGATGCACCCTCCACAACCCACTCCAGAATTCTTGTGCGATGCCTGACCCTCTTGTGTACCCTTCTTAGTTAAGATCTCTACGATTCATTTATCCTGCTTTTGTTTCTTTTATTTTGATGAAAATGACACAATAAATTCTTGTGAACAATGCCAGATTTTTTTAACTGAATTGGCTTGCAACAATTATTAATCTCATTTGCAAATTAGTATATATATATATATATGACTATAGTACCCCTCTCATTAACTTTGAAATGTATCGTTGCCAACAGACAGAAGAGACCCTGCCTTACTAGTTAATACAAGAGGTCCACTTCTTAGCCATGTTTCAGTACCTTACAGTTTCTGAAGAAAACAACATTCTCCCGGGGAAATGCTTCTATGCCATCAAAGTTTCACCACTTCAAGAACCTTTACAGAGTCATTGAAGAGATAGTCTTGTTCCATTTTTAGCACCTGGTTCTACTACAATGACAGCAATGTTATTCCTAACATTGATAGCATTTTTGCCCAGGTTAAGGTCAGAAAATTAGAGAAATATAACCTGGCCCCTTCTTGAGCTTCAGTTCATATTGTCAACTGTCACACGCGTGTGCCCAAATATCATCACTTGGTAGCAGAAAATAGACGCAGTCCAACCTCACCTGCCAGACGCATAAAGGGACATTTTTTCTAACAGAAGCAGCACAATTTGCCAAGCAGGAATTATGTTCATCTCATCATTCAGCTTTCTCCATTTGTTTATCCTGTTTGCAACTGCCTATAATCTTACTGAACTAAAGGCTGCCAGACTTTCAGAGGGAAAAAGCTGTTTACTACTCAGGAACTTTCATTAGATGTTAGCAACATCTGTCTCAGTAGAGCAGACTTAATCTTTGGCCTTGATCCTCCTGTATACTTACTTACTATTTGAAGACCATTTGGCTCACTTTCAAGGTACTTGGACTTCTTTGTGATTATGTTGGTTGTTTCACAGGTTTATAGGTTTTATACTGAGTTCACCAGAACACCCTGATTTCCAGAGTTACGTCAGACGGCTTCCTCTCTCTATGGAGAGCATTCATCAGAAATAGTGTTAAAAAGCAAAGTCAAATTGTATTGAACATTTGCCATCAAAAATATTTTTAAAATGCTCTTAGATCAGTACGGTATTCATTACTTCCATTCTCTCACATAAATGACACTTTGGCTAATAAGTCAATGAGACCCTTCCCTTCTCACAGTTCTGATTATAATTAATAGCAGCAATGACAAATGCTACTGTTGCTACAGCTCCATATATTGCAGGTATAATTAAGATTCCCTTCCCAACAAGAATAAGAGCCCATGTAATAACTCACATGACAGCTACAATTTCAGATGCTCACTTGTCTCACCTTCAAATATATTCTAATGGGCACAGTGTTGCTATTCTATTTTTTTCAGAAAATTTCTGTTCCTCCTTGTTTCTACCTAGTGTCAAGGAGTTTCACTAGAGTTAATTCTTTTCACAACTTCTTTACAATCAGTGTTTTCACACGAGGATGGGGCGTTCAGAGCCATTTTCATCTGAGCTATTTGGTACAGGCACCAACTTCTCACAACGTGGAAGATATACTATAAGATTCTGAAGGTTGCCCTGATGGCCCCATTCATCCGGTAATAACATAATTCAATCTGGTACAGAGTTGGAAGGGACCTTTAAGGTCTTCTAGTCCAATCCCCTTGAAGCAGTAGAACNTATATTGACTTACATTGTTATATTCCCATAATTTACAGCCAGCCAAAATCTTCATAATAACTCCATTAAAATATGAGTGGTTTTATTATTTGTTTTGTTTTTGTTTTGGTATATTAATATATATATATAATTAAGCAAGGATATGTTCTTACATATATTATGTTTCATAAAATTCATTTAGTTCTGTGTTCTAAATATCTCAAGTTAACATTTTAAAATGTTGTTTTAAAAAACAATGTTTAACAATATATTTCTTCATTAACTGAACAACCCTCACCCAGGATAACCCACATTTATCGTCTTTCATTTTAAAATTTTAACCAGCATGATATTTTACAACCCTTTAAAATATTATTATAACAAACTAATGATTTTGTCTGCCTTTCTTTTTTTCTATAACATATTTCGTTATGATATGACGCTGTTTTCTAAATGAAAATGGATTTTACATTTGGATGTCTGCTAGCAAGGAATTAAACCAAGGATGTTCCAGTCAAAACAACATTTCTGCAGAGATAGATTGGTAAGTTTAAGGATGTGTTTATAGCAGCAAATCGATGTTTTTAACTTAAATTATTAGATTCTTTTTCTAAATAATGTGCTTATCGATATTAGCAGGAGCTATCCTTTGTGCAAAATGGGTAGAGGTGATTAGAGTTACCCCAGATGAACTCAAGCCTGATGTGGATAGGAAGAAATATTTTGAAACAAATTAAATAAATTGAATTTAGAATTTGCAAATATTTTAGTAATAATATGAAAGCACTCTGGATTCTATATCAGGAAAGAAATTTCATTTTGATTAGTCAAACTGAAATGCTTCATAGGTTATTCACTGGCTGTATTTACAAGGTATAATGCAGCAAAACCAACCCTGTTCTCTCCTCTCTGTTTTCAGGGTCTATTAAACATTCTGTCACTTAAAAAAAAATAGTACTGACCATTGAGAAAGCAATTAAATAATGTCTTCCCTCACTTCATGGAAGACCCGTATCTCACAATGGAAGTAATGTACAACTGTTACCATTATTCCAATACATTACCTTAACTATTTCTTAAATTTTCTTCAAGTTATATAAATCTGCAGGATTTCACAGAGAAAAATTGCTAAGAACATAAAGAAATGTATGAATGTGTATTGCATGTGTATGTATTTGATGAAGCCATGGTTGACTTCAGTTCTGAAAACAGAGACAAGAACAAAGCTGCTACTTGCACCATACAAACAAACAAAAATAAATAAATCCCATTTTTTTGGTGGGCGGAGCAGTATTATTTTGGCCCAATATAAGAAGCCATTCTATTTTATGCCCACTATTCAAATGAGTAATGCAGGAGGACCAGTAATGAGTTCCATAGAACTTAGGACGTTTGATGTGGATTGCAGCATTGGATAGGAAAGTGAGCCGTAGATTACTTCATGCATTATTATCTGAAACATCTAATCAGTTTCTTAACTCCAGAGTATCTCCCTCTGCTCTTCCCTCATAAATCAAAATATTTTGAATTCATGAGAAGAATTCAAGAAAAAGAAAAATAATTTCAGAGTGTTAATTTGAATGTGGAGGGAGAATAGCTTGTTCAGATAAGGTTTTCTCCTCCCCCCCCCCCAAATAAATACATAAATCCATTCCCTTTGTTGCTGTAATTTTTCAGGTCACTTATTATTTGGGTGAATCGAAGCTTACCTTTGTGGGGATTACAGGTAATGTATACTTTCATTTTTGTAGATTTTACATGCGTTTAATAACATTTTAGAGTAAAAGAGGAGTATTTATTAACAGAATGGCAAATTAGTGAGTGCAAAGGTCATTCTACAAATATATATTGTATATTTTATAATATTTTTCTCTGAAGACATTTAGGATGGTTATTATGATTATCAGTCAAGAAGTTACAACCAGTCCTTGCTTAATGTCTACCTGGTTTAAAGACTATTTGCAAATGTAATACTAGGTGTTTTTTTTTTAAACCCCAACCAATGTGTGTGCTTTATAATCAGATTTTGTGCCTAACAACAGTGCATGTGGCAGTGAGAGTAATGCTGGCATGGCTGGATGAGAGTTTTATCTAAATGAGCCTGCAGCAGTCAATGATCTTTGCAGCTTCTGTCTTTCTGTCTCAGCCACGTCTTCACACCTAGCAAACATTCGACCTCTGGTTTAAGGAAGGGATTGCAATTGCTAAACAAGGAAAGGATATACTCAACCTACGACCATTCATTCACTAATTATTTGAAGTATGACAGAATCAAACAGATGGTGGTTACAACTGATCCTCCCAAGTTCTGTATGCTGCCATAGCACTCCTACAGTCACATGACCGAGACCTGGTTGCTTGGCTACCTGTTCACACTTACAACCGGTTGCCAAATACTTGCAATCATGTGGTGCTGTTTGACACCTTCCCTACTCTTTCACCCAGAACGTCAATTTCCTGCCTTGTGCTGTACTGTATTTTGCACATCCTCCTTGACCCGTGGGTTGTGGGTTGTGGAGAGTGCCTCTGATGCACCCTCCACAACCCACTCCAGAATTCTTGTGCGATGCCTGACCCTCTTGTGTACCCTTCTTAGTTAAGATCTCTACGATTCATTTATCCTGCTTTTGTTTCTTTTATTTTGATGAAAATGACACAATAAATTCTTGTGAACAATGCCAGATTTTTTTAACTGAATTGGCTTGCAACAATTATTAATCTCATTTGCAAATTAGTATATATATATATATATGACTATAGTACCCCTCTCATTAACTTTGAAATGTATCGTTGCCAACAGACAGAAGAGACCCTGCCTTACTAGTTAATACAAGAGGTCCACTTCTTAGCCATGTTTCAGTACCT